ATGTAAAGGCGATGTACGGATACCTGATCCGACCGAGGGTTTAGTCTTGGGTCAGAAAAGAGCAGCTTCGATCCCCAGAAGTATCCAACTATCCAACTACTAAAGCCTTTAAACACAACCTAATTTCATCCGGCATCACAAGTCCGGGCTCGATGACAGATCAGGGACCACGGTGGAATTCCACATCGTGAGTTCCGTTATCGACACATCCACCAACGCACAGCTTCGGCCGCAGGACGTCACCACACGTGTGCTGTTGGCTTCTGTCGATGGGGTCGTCGATCATAAACTTGCCTTCATGTAACGGTAACCCCATCATATTTTCTATTTTATTTCCTTTGCCCCTACCCCGAGCCACTGAATAATGCTGCAAAACTTCTCTCATCCTCGCCATATCGCAGATTCGAAAGAGAAAAAAGAAAAAGTAACGGCAATAATAAACAAGGGAAGGCCATAAGGCCGAGGTTTAACAGGCAAGGATCTACACCTCTCTCTCCACTCCCCCGCATCCACCACTCAGCTAGGCGACCGGCCTGGCAGCTTTCCCCACCAAGAAAAACACCTTCAGAGCGATCAGGGCTCATGTTTTTGACTTGCATTTGAGCCATTTCATCGAGTCAACTCTCCTTTGCATCACAGGCTTCGTTTTCTTGATTTCTGTTTTCAAAATCACTCCGTGGACAAAGACCATGTCGACTTCAAACCCAATAAGCGGGATCGATGGCGTTGACTTGGGTTGGATGCAATTTCATACGAAAGGTGAGCTAGCCCCCCCATAATAGCATCCTCTCCTACCTTGACCTCCGGGACAAGGGAATGCGGATATTGCGGCTGTCGGCAGGAAACAATGCGGCCAGAGCTAACAATTGTAACCGGTTGATAGATCATCGAAATCGGCCACAGTCAGTAAGCCCGCCAGCGTCTCCAAGCGCTCGTTCTCCATCCAACTCAACACACAGCTGTGATGGTATCCCCCAAGCCTCTTCACCCCAGCCTCTACCCACTCATCACAATCCCTCACAACCGCATACGACAGCTTCTGCATCATTAACCAATGGAACTCCCACTCCAGTAATCACGTCACCAATACGAAGGAATTCATGGTTATCAAGCATCTCCTCAAAATTCGCCTCAAACACACATAACGGCGAGGCTCCGGCTTCACCAGCAACCGAGGCACCTCTAAAGCAACATCCTGGGTTTCTCATTGCAACATTACGGAAATTATCTTCCTCAAGTGTTCCAGGAAGGGGATCCTTTGGTAAGAATCAGGGCAATGGGGGGAGATGTGAGCGTGTGGTTCTGAATAAAAATCATACTCGGGATAGGTGTCAGATATCAGAGCTGGATGGTATCCGGCTAAAAAAGGTTGCCTTCTGCGTCGATGTGGAGGTTTCAGTTCCATCACCTCTGTCCAAGAATGATGAACATTCCTTGAAAATTATCACGAGTGCTGCGCCCGAGGTACAAACATCGGAGAAGGGTGTTCCCAGTGATGCTAGAAGTAGGGATTCAAATACGCCGGAAGAAACACAGAACAAGAACACCGAAGAAAAATCGGAAATAATTCCTAGGGATGCAAACTCGACGAGCAAGTCGAATGGAGCTGAGGGAATTGAGAGTACGGAAGCGGCGAGTAAAGAAACACGGCCCTCTGTACACGACAGTAAGGCTACTAATTTCCCTGCAACCACATACAATTTACAACCAACCCCTTCTTTTACAGGTTCCAACCAAGGTACCTTTAGCCAGCTGAAGCCTGATAATACGGCGCCTCGGCCACGCCGAAGGCCGACTACGGATGTTGCCCGTATCTATAAGAGATGTTGCCAATTGCGGGAAATTCCAATGTTGCCGTTAATTGCTAAACAACTTGCGAACTCTGTTGGAAAAACATCTCTCGACTCCCTTGATATATCCAACCATCCATTACAGATATGTGACGCTCTTGTATTATCGGATTTCCTAGCGCTTGCGCCTGTCACAAAGTTGGATCTTGAGAATTGTGGGCTTACCGACGAAGCATTGAGAGTAATATTGTCTGGCCTACTTGCCGTCAAGCAACCTATCCCAAAATCTTCGCACAGGGTTAATAAAGAAGATGTTCTCAAGAGGACTGCTTCAGGTGGTTCATCCGAAAGTCAATGGAGTCGTGCGAGCCAGGAGAAAGATGTGCCAAGGTGTAGAGGGATGGTTGAATGGCTTTCTCTCAGAAACAATCCGAAAATAGGGCGTGATGGATGGCGATACATCAGTTTGTTTCTACACATGTCTCGTTCCTTGAAGGCTCTTGATGTGTCGATGATTCAGTTACCACAGGTGCCAAAGCGGCCAATACCATCAGTTGTATTTCATCCATCCGATGCCACAGCCCTATTTTGTAGAGCGCTCTCCGAAAGATTGGCAGGTGTAGGACTACAAGAGTTAGCACTGAATCGATGTGATATAAGTACGGAGCAGCTACGGGGCATTGTGGAAGCAGTGCATAAGGGAGGAACAAAAAGACTGGATTTGGAAGGAAATCACATTACAGATGACGGTCTCATTTACCTTGCACAATGGGTTAGGGACGGGAATTGTGAAGGCCTCAGTCTGTCAAGTAATGATCTTCAGGTGTGTCTTTCGGTCCTTCATGTACTGAGCCCTCTCGCTCTAACATATTTTTCAAGGAACACATAGATATTCTTGCCGCATCACTGCATGAAAAGTCACCTCTTCAAGCCCTCGGGCTTGCTAATTGCAATTTGAGTGCTAGGTCGTTATCTACTTTACTTCCAGCACTCACTGTATTGCGAAACTTTCGGTTGCTCGATCTCTCACACAACCCACTCCTATTCTCTACACAACCAGATGCTCTTCCAATACTACGGAAGTACCTTCCACAGCTTCCAATGCTAAAGAAGTTACAGCTGGCACATACCTTCATGACACCAGACCATGCGATTGCTCTAAGCGAAATTTTGCCAGAGATAAGGTCCCTGGCGCACTTTGATGCACTGGACAATCCGATGCTGGTACCGGGTGTTACTAACCAAGATGCTCTAGGTTTGCCTGATGCGGTGAACAGAGAAGGTAGTCTTGAAGAAGGGGCAGCACTATATACTGCTCTGCTAGCAGCTGTTAAGGTCTCTAAGACAATAGTCAGGATGGATATTGACGATCCAGGTCTGGGCTCTGGGGAGGTCATTAGGGGCCTAGCAAGAAAAGTTGTAGCGTTTTGTTTGAGAAATATGGAGAATGCCGAGCTTTATAATGACAATCCAAGTGCAGAGCCCGTTGAGCACATGGATACAGATGATGAAGATACCTACCCAGGTGATGGAGAAAAGGATGACTTAGTTGTTGGAGGAACTGGTGTGGTGAAGGTTGGTCTCATTTCTACACTATTTTCTAAGGGAACCAGAGCTAAATTAGCTTTTGCCAGGCTCTAGGTGTATGCCTGGGCAATAAACCCTATACCAACAAATCACCTCTCTCTCCAGGGCTTGAGGGGCCAACACAAGAAGGTCACCTTGGGAGAGCTTATGATATGTCCAAGGCCCTTCTCTATCGAGCACGGAAAATCAAGGAGCGGATACAGTCTGCGCTCCAGAAAGCAGCTCGGGAAGAGGTGGATGAGATACATTACCGTATGTACACGGATAGCATCTCCACAGTTTATGGGGTTTACTTACATAATTTCCAGGAAAATTGCTCTTTCTGGATGATACACTATTCCATGTCATCGCCCGTTTCGAGGAAGAGTACCCCGACTGCCGATTAGCTCCCTCTTCACTTACAAAAGCCCCCTCTCCCACCACTGATCCGGGGCTCCTCGCTATTCCCAGTCATGGGAAGGTCCCCATTCCTCAATCCCTATCGTCAGATATATCACCCTCGAACCATTTGACACCCATTGGCATTGACATTGACGATAATGACGAAACCCGCATTAAAACACCATCTATTTCCCGCCAGCCATCTAACTCGTCTCTCCACTCACGGCGGGCACTTGATGCTGAGGAAGGCCAAATGCATAAGCTAGCAATGTTCATGCAGAAGCAGTTCTTTGAGAAGCAAATGCAAAAGTTATCAGAGGCAGGCACGAGCGATATATGCACTTCAGAAACTTCCGGTAAAGAAGAGGGAGAAGATGGCCATGCCGAGCCACCACATATTCGAAAAATCAAGATGTTGATGGAGGGTATGAATGGGGAGGATATCAGGCAAAAAGTAACTGAGGAAGGGGGCGCATTGGGCCTGATCAAAAAGTTGGAGGGCGCATTGAGTAGGGATATGGACGAGGCTTTGAAACAGGAGCAGGAAGCTATCTTTGTGTCAGCGGACTAACGAGGTGGAAAGCTAGGCAAGTGGTGGATATAACTAACGGGAGTAACCTTCGTTGCAATTGCATGTGGCAAGCCCATGTTGTGCGTACGCTGTTGCGTCTCTGTTCTAGCAGCTGGCCCGCCAAGCTCCTTATGTTACCCTCATTTACACTCAACCTGAAGCTAACCCAGAAACCCTGGTAGGTTTTTCCAATCAGCTTCACATGTTCCTCAACTTTATCTTACCTTCCCTTAACTGATTTTCTAATATCTAATTATCCCCTATCGCTTTTTTATCCTCAATTCCAGCAATTCTTTCGCGGTGTTATGGGGGGTCACGATGAGATATGAAGTGGGGGGGACAGGTCTATATTTAGCGAAGCGTACTTATTGCCGTACTATGGCTTTTTTATTATATTAATTAATTTTTTGTGGAGCTCTGGTGAGAGACCTTGCCACATGCGTATATCTTTCTTTTGTTTTCTGTGGTGTTACAGATGTGCTATGATTTCTTGGTTTTTACGAAGTTTTTACGTTTGCAAAGGGGCTTGAGTGCTATGTACAATAATTCCAAGAGGAAATCTTATGTTTTCTTCAAGAGAACTAACTGAGTGTCGGAGATTAGTGAGGGAGTAGTAATAGCTCCGAACCACTATTGAATAGCATTGTTTTTGTAAAAAGGAAAAGTATTGGCGACCACACCAGGAGTCGAACCTGGAATCTCTTGATTTCGGATGACAGTCGTAGTCAAGCGCCTTGACCATTGGGCCATGCGGCCAGTGATGAGTATGAAACACATCATTTAATACATACACACGATAGTACTCTGTACAGTGAGGTGGATTAAAGTGAATTTCTAACAGTCCGAGTCCTTTAAATAGCAACTTAAAATATCCCATGCATGAAGAGAGTCAAACTATAGCATGGTACCAAGATTTACTACAGGTTGTAAGCTTTTGCAGATATTTATGAGGTGGAGGAACCAACCATGGACGGCCTTCGCATTCGTATATGCAGATAGCGCATACTCTCCGAGTTCTTGTCTAATAGAAGATTATAATCGTGAAACTTTAAGGACTCCAGATAGAGGTGCTTACCCTATACCACTTTGCTTGACACCACTAAAGGCGGAGGTTAAATCCAAAAATGGCTATTCTGGTCTGTTGTGGTTGAAACTTACCCAAAAGGAATGCCGAAGTGACTGTCATTGCTACTATTTATCTGAACGAGTGTTAACGTGGCTGTGTATTGGGTGAACGAGACACTTACCCAAACCATGCCCGCCTGTATTTTAGCTGCAACTTTATGTGCCCTCGTCATATTTTGTGTGAAAATAGCAGCGCCCAAGCCATAGTTAGACTTGTTTGCTCTCTTCACTGCTTCCTCCTCAGATTTGAAGGATGCAATGGTTACGACTGGGCCGAAAATCTCTTCTCGGCTAATTACCATATGATCTTCAACGTTCATGAAGATAGTAGGCGCAATGAAATATCCCTTATCGCCGTGCTTGGTACCACCAATAACCAGCTTTGCTCCTTCGCTCTGCCCAGATGCAATGTATGCCATAACCCTTTCCCATTGCTTCCTACTTACCTGTGGGCCTTGGAAAGTACTTTCGGCGAAGGGGTCGCCAATTTGGGAAATCTTTTCGGTTTGCATCTTGAATGCGTCAATAAACCTCTCATATATACTCTCCTGTACAAAGATCCGAGATGTCGCAGTGCAGATTTGGCCCATATTACCTACGATATTGAGGTCAATAATCATTCAAACCAGGGAGGGTTTATATAATTACTCATAATTCCGATGTGACTCCACTTCACAGCTTGATCCAAGTCCGCATCATCAAAGACAATCAGGGGACTTTTTCCACCAGTTTCGAGTGTGCTAGGATAGTTAGCAGCATTCTTTCTATTGCGAATAATCATAAACATACATGTTCTTGAGATTCGCACTAGCAGCCTTCATTACAAGGCTCCCAGTGGTAGTGGAACCCGTGAAGGCTATTTTATCAATACCGGGATGACTAGCAATAGCCGCACCTGCCTTATCTCCATAGCCGGGGAGAATGTTCACAACACCAGGAGGGAAGCCAGTCTCCTTTACGAGATTGGCAAGGTAGAGGGCAGATAGTGGGCACTGTTCTGCTGGTTTGAGGATTACCGTATTTCCCTGACAACAATGAGATGAGCTTCGTGGCTAGTAGTCAGAAGCGGAGCGCCTAACCGTAGCCAATGCTGGCCCCAATTTCCAGGAAGCCATCTAATATAGAGGATTAGAATAGAACAAGTCATTATATCACTGTAATAGTCAGGTGGCAAGCTTTTGGCCTGCATCATAACTGGGGAATTTCGGGGGCCCAGGGGCCTTTTACCATCTGTGACCAACATGTTAGTGGACAAATCCAAGTTCGGGGTAATAAACCTTACCAACGGGTAGTTCCAGCTTTTACATACGAACAGTCAGTAAAACCACCTTCAAATCCCCTGCGGAAATTAGAACATACGGAATTATTTGGCCACAGACGCCTATGGGTTGGTGTAGGGTATATGCGAGCTTCCTTGGACCAACGTCAATAGTTCTCCCATAAATTTTATCTGCCCATCCGGCGTAATATCTGTATGAGCCATTAGAATTTCTGGTAGTGAGTTGCCGATGGCTATAAAGATTTCCTACCTCAATACTCTAATAGATTCGAGTACATCCTCTGCAAGACAGACACTGTACGGTTTACCATTATCCCTATAGGTCATTTCTGTGAGTATCACAATGCATGTGACGAAGCGTAAAGAGGTGAGCTACCAAGTATCTGCACTGCAATGTCAGTGCTCAGACGGTTAAGGTCTGCACAGGGGATAGTACCAATTGTAGCGAGTACCTTGGAATTTTCCTCTATCAAATCTGCTAATCTGTAAAGCAGCCTGCCACGGGCTTCTGGTGTTAACTCTGACCATGTGGGGCTTTCGAATGCAGCTCTTGCGGCAACCACTGCAGTGTCTACATCTGCCACATCTGCTGCATAGACAGAAGTGATTTCTTCCTCATTTGTGGGATTGATGGTGGCCAATATGTCCCCAGATTTGCTTCTCACAAACTTATTATCGATAAAGAGTCCAAGGGGCTGTGTATACCTAGCGGTAATGTTAGATCGAAATTGAAGGACACAGCTGCACCTTACTTCACGCCGTTGGGGGCTGTCAGTTCCCTTGCTAGGGGCAATGCCAGCTTTGCTAAGGTTGATTCCATACGGTATAACTGGGGGTAGAACTTGGTACAAACAAGCCTCTTCTGTAAACGACAAAAATGGAACCTGGGGATCAATGTTGCTGGAGAGAATACAATAGAGTGCAGGGCACGAGGTCTTATGCGCCAAAGCATTGGGAAATGACGCCGGCCAAAAGCTTCAGTCATTATTGCCGAGATATTGGCTGTTAGAAGATATTGCGCCGAACTCCAATACTGCCAAGTGTAGGCTACGCTCAAGCTCGAGTCATACAAGCAAAATGCATGCATATACATATGTAATAGAGCGCATCATGTGGTATGCATTCTTAATATATTATTAAACGTTTTTTTCTTTTTTCAAAGTACTACATATAGTCTACCCTCAATCGACCTAAGGTCATGACGGGGGTATACCTAACTCTACTGTGTTGTAGATGGATAGAATGAGCAACAAGACTCATCCTACTAGCGTAAATTACTTGTTAAATAGTTTTTTCTAGGTGGAACCTAGCTATTACCTAAGTAGTATATTTTGATTCATTACTTCAGTGTGTGCGCACCGATTTTTCATTTTACCAGCTCAAACTTGTTGCACCCGTTTTCGCTGTTATGGCCATGGCCATATAGAAGAATAGCCTTCTGAAGGTAACTCTCAACTATAAAAGTGAATAATCAGCACCCCTTGATGAATAAATGCAAAACACGTGCATTGGGAACAATTGTAATGTTGGTCAATGGGTCTCCTCTATTTTGCAGCACAACACCTTTCTGCCAAGGAAGAATTGTGCAATATTTGTATGTTAATTATTTTGGTATGACTATGTATGACTATCGAAGTTAATCTTAGGCACCACATCTTTGATTGTGTGTGTGATAAGGAGCAGGTAAGTGCGTGGGGATTCCCGTTAAAAGAACCTGGCTTGTTTAGCATAATCTAGCATGTGGCGTGGCGAACCTAAGATATCTGGTAGTCTGGTATGTTGAGGATAATAATGACTGAAGCCTTTGGCCGCTATTCTCAGTGTCATTTCCAGCATTTTTATCGCGAATAAATGCTGCGCCAGTGGTCGCTCGGCATCTACCAGTTATGACTTGTCGGTTAAGCCCTTTCAATAAGGGTAAACTTACTTCCTTTCTTATGTTCTTGATCTGGTCCTATGACAGGCGCGAGACTGATCCTACCAATATTTGCTGATGGGATGACTGATGGCCGGTTTGAGATGCGTGATCAATATTGGTAGAGAAACAGTAGTCTGGGAACACAACCCCTCGGCGGAACAGAGGCTGGCGCTCAAGATAGTATTGATCTGATGACGCTTGCTTACTCCTGAGCCCAGAAGTCTACTTCTCACGGTACTCTGATTCTTATAAAAGGTGCATATTAGTACTATCAACATATGAAATGTAGCAATTAGGTTGGGTAAATTCATGGAAGCGAATTCTATGCAGAGACTACGGAGGTGTTTAAACCCTGTCAAACGAAACAAAAAGCACACTCCGCACGATTTTCAGAGCCTGCTCTAAGTTCCAGGGCACCATTATAGAGAAGGGGCCGCAATATAAAATTGCATCCAAAGAATTAGCAGGAGCGTTCATACACCAAAGCAAGAACGGAACACCAGATTCCGTCAGTGCAGGTTAATACACATGTCGCTCAAAAGTTCCCCAACTCCAGAAACCCATCTAAAACCACCGCTGAAGCGATGCAACATATATTCATAATAGTCAGCGATTAGTTGAATAATTCCATCGTAGCATAACCAATATGCTGTCGTGTTATCCCTTATTTAGAAAACCCCAATACCGATTTAACGCCTGTGCGGAAACTGCCCAGAGCCGTGCTCCTTTCTGGAATTATGTCCAGAGGCTGAATAGGATCGACTTTTATTTTGACAAAAAGCGTTGAAAATAAGAACTGTTCGCCTTGATTATCGTACAAAGGCAAATGCCGGTATCCTGTTCCTTTTGTTAGATTAAGTAAGTGGAAGGACAAAAGAGCATACCTTGTTGAAGAGAGGTTAGCTTAGCTGTATAGGAGCCAAACATAGACGATCGATCGCCTGAATGACCATCATTATAGAGCGAAAATCTCACGAAAATCAAAGATTCGAACTTCGTTTGGATCGAAAAGCTCATCTTTCCACCCCCGTTTGTGCTGAAGATGGGGCTAAATCCATTTTCTCGAACAACAGTCGTCCGCCTTCGGGTAGGAGCCCCAAGGCCAGAGGCTGCTTTGGAGTCACCAGCTTCAATACCTCCTTCAACTGTGGAAGCCCCTTTTGCTTTGTCGTCTGCACTGAAAACCTCAACTTCTACAAATGGATCAAAAGAATCATCTGGTTTCTGATCCTTGGGGCGAGGGAGCTGCTGCGCTGATATCACATCTATTGAAAATTTGACCAGCTTCCTATCCTTTCTGAGCTTTGCAGCAGCAGCATCCGCCAGAGGGTCGGATGTCGTCCTGGAAATGCGGAGCTCCCTTGGTTTCAATACATAGCCTGTGTGATCGTGAAGAGATGCAAACATAGCTTCATTCATCTGTAGACCCAAGTC